CTCTGGATAAGGTTCTAAATCTACATGAGTCGCTATTGCATCAGTTTTAGTCTTTAAAAGCTAATAAAAATGCTTTAGTATTTCCTGATGTCCAAAGTGTTATGTTTAGATATCCTAGAGATGGCTCCATCTGTTTCTGTCTTTCAACTTGTTCACATATTTGAATCACATGAAGATGTTCCACTGCATAGATGCAAAAACAGAACCCCATGAATCTAAACATAAAACATACAAAAGAAACCAAACACACAAGCCTGATTTGCATGTTCACATGAGAATCAGAGGTGTGAATAGATTCAGGGGCAAAGAAAAGCTAAGAAATCTCTAGAACATCCCTATGTGAGCTACCAACAATGTCTTTACTGACTTGTGAAATGGCATACATATTTCATGCTCTTCTATGAGTAATGAAATATGAGTACTGGGACAGTTAAGATCCTGTGTGGAGGAACAAAGCTATAGAGTTAAGCTTGCCAAGTTTATTGAAATCATTTATTTATCTTGCCATTCTCCAAACATGTGACATCAATGACATCCATGAGCTAGGGTTGAACCATACATGCAGGTAAAAAGAAAGCAAGCTAGGCAACTAAATAATGGACAATGTATACAGCATCATTAACAGGAGAAACAACACAGAATCACCTCAACTTGAAAACCAAGGTAATACAAACATGGTGACTTTTAATAGTGACAGTTATAAGTTCAGCTTTAAGTTGTTTCTTTCTGGGTTTGTTGTTGTTTTGTTTTGTTTCAGAATTTTTAGTTTGTCTGGAGCACTCTGATAGAAGCAGTCTTGAGCCATAGAGCACACAGTCTAGTGCAAACTAGGAGCGTGTAAGCATCTGTGACTTGGCAAAGCTGGTAAGAAATGTCACCACCAAACAAATGAGACTGATGGCTTTAGACAAGGTAAAACTTAAGGGCAACATATGCTTGCTATATATTTTCATAGCCAATGACTGAGCTTCCAAATGATGCCCTGAAACCCATGCCCTAGATGGTCACCCCAGCTGGGCAAAACCTGTAAAAGTGGCAGCAGTGTCAATACCTCTGAAAAGGGTGCTGGGTTGGACCTCCTGGTGGGATATCTGTAGATGGGACAAAAGAGATGGCTTGTGCCTCTGGGTCTCAGGCCTGCAGAGTCCTGACATTAGCAGAGGCCTGGAACAGCACTGGAACAGAGCTGCAGAAGCAAGGAGCACCACAAAGATCTGCATTTTGATTAACCTTACACTGTACCTCTGCATTCTCTATGCAAAAGCAGATCTGTAGTATCATGCGGTGGTTATGAACCACCATTATGATATTGCTATGGCATATGTGCTAGTACAAGAGACAGGAATATCCCATTTCACTGGCTAAAGCCTTGAGAAGAAGATTTGATCTGTAATACAATGTTCAATTCTAATCAGCACATTCCAAAAAGGGAACTGTAGTTGCACCAAAAGCAGAGAGAAACTATAAGGATATTTAGGGAACCTGAGAGCTGTTATTTGCAAATAGAGAATTAAAAAATAGCTTGTTTGATCTATCAAACTAAAATCTGAAACAATATACTATTATGCTTTCTAAATATTTTGGGTAGGAACAATACAAACAAGGGAACAAAGGAGCTATTAAAGGGCAAAAGAACAAATCAGTATAAATTTGCTATAAACAGTTGTTCCTAGCAATCCAAAGGTTTCTGATTTTCAGAAACTGGGACAAAAACAGCCTTCCAAAATAAGTGTTGTGATCGAAACAAACAATGACTGGAGAGTAATCATGGGACTCTGGCAGCAATCCTCACTGCCTCCAAGTGGGAGAGGTGAACAAGCTGGAGGGATGGAGCTACTAACTGCCTCCAAGGCTCTGCGCTGTGGATACTGCTGCTGGTGCCTTCGATCGGCGGCCATTTGGTTTAATTCCAGATAAGAATCAATTCCCAAATCCTTAAAGAAGCTAAGTGTATTTTTTTCCCCATGAAGATGAGGGAACAAGCACTTAGCTCTTCCCTCAGTTCTTTTAGTACATCACTGTTATTTTGTGTCTATTCCTTCCTACTACTCCTTTATGCCTTTTCCCTGCCCTCTTTTCTCCTGTCTAATCACAAATCTCTCTCCCCACACACATGCTTTTTTCAGTGAGTGGGATCACTTCTCCCTCATTTTGCCTTGTAGGATCTGTGTTTAAATGAAATAGAGAGAAGATGGGAAGAGAGTAAATGGTCTCATCTTCCTTTAGCCCAAGATTTCTGTCTGCATTAGTCTAAAAAAACCTTCATTGTCATATGAGATAGAACAGTGATTTAAAGGCCTGGAGAAATTCTGGAGGCATTTAAATTCACCATTCTTTCTCCCAAAATAGAAGAAGAAATATACATGCTGCCTTATATTCAAGTAAATGTGGTACTCTTAAAATAGGACTAGATTTGTTTTTGAAATCAACTGTATGACATAATTCCCTGAGATGCCTTATGGTTCAATATTTCTAACTCTGTTCTGTTGCCAGAGAATGCTAGTTTTCCGGCACCCGCTTCCAACATCTCATTGTCTTCCCACCAGAAATAGATTACACATCTCCTACACAGCTCTGTGGCAGTACACCCCTACAGGAATCTTTTAAAGAGACTGAGCCCTGAATAATGCTTTCATTTTTTAGTCAGGTTTATTAGTGGCTGCAGTTCCCTCCCATGTTTTTTTCTGACCACTGAAGAGGCAGAATCAGGCTATGCCAGCAGACTGATTATGTCAATTTGTCATTTCTGTCTAATTACTCCAAGTTTATCTAGATTCATTACTCAGCACTTGTTCCCGAAATCCTTGCAGGTATTTTGCCCAATTTCAGCTGAAGATGCTCAAAATATTGAAAAAAGTAGTTTTACTTACAAGTTTTGAAATGTAGCAATAATGGTACCGTGGACCTGAAACTCCCCAAGAACATTTCTTTCTTGGTAAAATTGTGCTTGAAAACAGAGCCATCATTTGTAGGTACATATACTACAGGTAAGGTACATCACTGCATGTACTTTGTAGGTCACACCTGAGAAAATATATTCTTATAAAAAATCTTCAGTCATATTTACATTACAAATCATGTCTAAAATGTCAATGTGTCTATGTCTATAATGCCTATATTTTCAGAAAGACTAAGTCATAGCAATCATATGGCATTTTTCATTTTGATTGGTTCCATAAAACCAGACCAAGTTTGATTTCCTATAAGACTCCTAATAAATGTCAAATAACGTCCATGATTTCTGTATCCATTCTTTGTACTATTCCTATTTTTGAAGTAATAATTTTAATATTTTAAGATTATTTCTCAGGGTCTGAAACCCTTTAGTATGTGAAGCATTCATTTACTAGTGAATATGAGATTGCCTTGGAATAATTAACTTTTGTTTTTAGCAGTTCTTTCCTACTTCTTTTTGAAAAAAAAAATCCTGTAGAAATTCTAGCAATAGAGCCTCTCTGTGAATATTTGAAGAAACTGCTTAATTTTCTGCCTTTGTTTTCCTCCTTAGAGATGGCTGTATTTTTTCTTGAAACTTTGAAAGAATATCATAACTGGATAAAATTATCCTGCCTTTCTGTATTTTTTTCCATAAAGAACATTGTGAACTTCCAACTCTTTCTACAGAGTTTTCATGCACTGAATTTCACTGATTGCATAGAATGAAGCTCTAGCATGTTCGTAAGTTTGTGCATGTTATAAAATTTTGGCTGAGTTTTCCTTGAGAAAACTGGAACCGTATGATGCCACAAAGTGGCACTTATCTTTTGTGATTCACATTTCTGAAGACATTTTGAGACATTTAGATAGAGTGTTATTATAGGCACAGGAAGCTCTCAGGAGTTAGAAATGCTGGGATTGTGGATGCACAGGCAAAGTTTATCATCACTTTATGCATATACATTATGGTAAGGTGATTACATGTCTAATACTTTTTTTTTTTTTCCCACAGAATTCCTACCTTATTCAATGCGTAGGACGGACTTGCTAGTAAGGGATGGATTTGCTAGTAAGATAGATCTGCAGGCTCTAGGAAGCCAAGCCTTGTGTATTGCATTACTTGGAAAACATGCATTTCCTTGTGGAAACTTTCTCTTTACTTGTCTGGAACAAAACACTTGTACTGTAAGATGATAGGAAGAGCCACAGAAGCAGGTTTTAAGTGAGAAAAGCAGGAAAAACAAGCAGTTCTAAAAGGGATAGAGAGCATAACTATAGTTTTAGCAGTTTAATGCTGTTTGGGGGAACCTAATTTCTCCATGTTGCATTGCAGTTTTCTTTTAGTTCAATTACACTCTTGTTTGTGCTTGTCTAAATGACCTTAACAAGCTCCATACCACCCCTATGTCAATGCCCACTGTCTTGCTGTTCCACCAAGCAGGACACTGCTGCCCTCATACTGCTTTCACACAGACCAAGTTAATATCTGTTTCTCCTCTTCTCCTCCTGACTAGTTCAAATACCTCATTCACTTCTTTTCACTGCTCTGTCCTTTCTGGTTTGTCAGACTACTGGCCCATGGGCTAGCTACAGCCTTCAATGCAGTCCCATTCTGAGTCGCTCTCCTCTGGCTGTGGCCTGCAAGGGCAGGGGAGCTGCTAGACCCTACATAATATTGTTGCATGCTTTTTTCTGGGCTTGTATGCAGCCAGACACTTGAGCTCATAAGCTACTATTTGTCCACACACCATTGGGTACCATTGAGATGTATGCTCTAAACCAGCACAGACAGGGTTGAGTCACACCAACTAAATTTTTTTTCCCTTAGGTCCCTTAGGTTTCCTTAGGTGCTATCTCATACTAAATTTAGCCATATAATTGTAGACACTCCATTATACATCAACTACATAAAGTCATCTGTACATGTAGTCTGAGGCTGAAAGTCAAAACAGGCCAAAATATCCTCACATACGCTGTAAGGAAGATGCACACATGCACACACACCTCAAAAACAGTTTTCTATCAGTGGTAGTACTTCAAATTTTTATAACAGACTAACTTACTTTGTAGGAACTATAAGCACCTTGGGAAGTCTTCGAGTAGGTGTCCTCCTCTGATAGGAATTGCCATAAGGAGCACAGCTCTCACTTCAGGAAATTTAAAAAAAGAAAGAGAAATGGAGATGGAAGTGAAATCTGATTTTCAGAACCAGCATGGTTTAGTTAATTAACTGCATTATATATATCCTTGTGCTTGTCTCAAAAGGAAATCTAAAACATATATCTGTACCCTTCAGTTACACTATGCAGCAGCTTCAAGGTTAAAACATGTCAGTTTGGTGGTTCCACAGTTGAAGAAACTGTTTTTCTAAAAACACAGATTTCCCACCCTTCCACCCAGACTGTCCTCTCAATGAGTCATTATAAAACAGGTTTAAGCTGTTTCTATTTGCTCTTGACTTTGCATATGGTATTCCTGAATTTCCTGAGGTTTAATGTACTTTATTGTACACCAGTTATGGGCTTACAATAACTTCTATGTTGATCTCTGATATCTACTCTGAAACAATTTTTGCTTTGATTTTTTCAGCTTAACTTAGAATATATAACAAATTAGAGAGACTTAGGGATTTATTGCTATATCTCTAATGGCATAGGGTTATGACATAACTTTACAAAGTCTTTTTTATAGACGCAATGGCCACAATAAAACTGAGAAAGTGTAGCAGGCAAAGCATGGGGGCCAGTTAAGTGATGCTTACAAATGTTTAGACTCTCTTTGTCTTGTGCTCTTAGATACACCCAATGTCTTATATATGTCTGTCTGTCTTCTAGGTTTTACTAAATAACTCCTTCTTTTCTCATATACTTTCTCTGGAAATAAATCTGTCTCAACATGTGACTTTTGAAAATAAGTGCTGGGGCTTAGGGATTCTTTTTGCTGATTTTCATAAAAAAGGATAATAATTCTTAAAAATAAAAAAGCAAAAAAAAAACCTTAACCTTAAGTAGTGATAAGATTTAGTGGTAAACACACCCACAGATGTTCTTGGATATCTAAGTATGCCCTCAAATTATGAACACTTACGGACATGAATTGCTTAGTATTTATGATAATAAAATATCTACTTACCTCTTTGTGGTATCCAGGTCTGTGTTATTTTTGAGGATGAGCAGTCACTTATTTCATTATTTCAGTTCTAAGAACAAGCAAATAAAATGGTCATTTTTTCCATATCATTGACATTTGCTTATCCCATAGAAAGTTAAGATTTATCCAAAGACTTGACATAATATATAAATGTGTACAGAAAAAAAAAAAGCCTCACTTCATCCTTTACTAGTATTACATACTATCTAACAAGAAGATATTAGGATATTGTTTCCAACATCTCGTCACCTCTCAAAAAATGGATGACTTACAGAAATTATATGTAAAATTAGTGTTTACCTGTTTACCTAACAAAACTGTTTACCCTACTGTTTACCTAACTGCTACTGTTTACCTAACTTTACCTTTTATCTGTTTTTAGAAGCATATTTTTTATTACCTTATCCTGTTCAAAACCTTTCCCTGCAGTTTTGAGTTCCCATAGTACGAGCAAAATACACTAGTTTCCCTCACTTCCCACTTCTAGTTACAAGCACAATCTCTCATCAAAGCAGCTTTCATAGATAGGTTACAGCATTAGTATGGAACAATACTGGAGTTTGCTTTGGCCCTTTGGTGGCAAATCTGATATAGGGAGAATAGGATTTATTGTTTAATAAATGCTATCCAAAATGTTCTGGCTAACTCAATAGCCTGCAGCAAATTACTAGCCCCTTGAACCTTGTTGTGTCCCGAGTAGGAGTATACTACACTCTGCAGTCCTCTTTCATTGTCCATTCCTATATCATGGAAGGTTTGAAATCTTCATAAACCCCAGACACCAGTCCAGGCTGGGGACTGACCTTCTGGAGAGCAGCTCTGCGGAGAAAGACCTGGGTGTCCTGGTGGATGATAAGTTGACCATGAGGCAGCAGTGTGCCCTCGTGGCCAAGAAGGCCAATGGGATCCTGGAGTGCATTAAGAAGAGCATCTCCAGCAGGTCGAGGGAGGTGATCCTGCCCCTCTACTCAGCCCTGGTGAGGCCGCATCTGGAGTACTGTGTCCAGTTCTGGGCTCCACAGTACAAGAGGGATGTGGAGCTGCTGGAGAGAGTCCAGCGCAGGGCTACAAGGATGATCAGGGGCCTGGAACATCTGCCCTATGAGGAGAGGCTGAGGGAGCTGGGCCTGTTCAGCCTGGAGAAGAGACGGCTGAGAGGGGACCTGATCAGTGTCTATAAGTACCTCAAGGGAGGCAGTGAGGAGGAGGGTGCTGGCCTCTTTTCACAGTCCTGTGCCACGTGCTCTAGGTGACCCTGCGTGTGCAGGGGGTTGGACTAGATGACCTCTAGAGGTCCCTTCCAACCTTAAGCATTCTATGATTCTATGATTCTACGATTCATAGGTGATTGGCAAGGAGATAAGAAGGAAACACACGTAGCTTTTGCTCAGTGAGAAAAAAAAAAGAAACTATAATTTTAAGTGGCACAGAAATGCCTTTAAACAACAGAATTGTATGAAAATGAGTTATCTATTTTTCTGACAGTAGCTTGAAAGGCACTTTGCCTGTTTAGACCTAGGTATCCTTGTGTTGTGAATCATGCCACCAGCGATACAGAGATGATGCATCCCTTACACAATTTACTACTTAGTTTTGTCTGGGCAAGTGGATGAGAACTATGCTAAATCCGTAACACTTTCATAACCAAATTTCAAATGTAAACATTTTCCTGACCTACCATATGCAGTTCTTGAATCAGGCATATCACATGCAGAATGACACAACTGCTGTCAGAGAAATGTAAGAAACTGCTTTCTTGCCCATGTTGCCGCATTGTTGTGCAGTGTTGCAGCTTTTCTATCATGGTGGGAGTCAAAGCACCAGATGAGCTGGTGAGAGGCACTAGGACTTTGTGCTACCACTACATAAAAGGCAGATTCTCCAAACCTGCGTTTTATCTCATACCAGAGAAGTATGTGTGGCCATAGTTCATACGGTCTTTTAAACATGATGCATAATTATTTGTTTAATATATTTATTCTGGGACACATTAGCAAGTAAGTCATTACCTTCTGAGGTAACCAAAAAACTGCAGGCCAGGTTAAAATCTGTGCAGCAGAAAGAGCATTAACAGCTCTTCTACCCAATTTCTCCATCCAAGCAAGGTCCTTCTGAAAGGCAGCACATTGATCTGTTAACCTTTCCTCACAGTTCTGTATCATCTGCAAATTCGCTGCAGTGCCCTGTATCCCTTGGTCTAAGTCATTAATGAAGATGCTGAACAGCATTGGACCCAGCCTCAATCCCTGGGGCACACCACTGGTGACTGATGTCCAGCTGGACTTCATACCCTGATCAAAACTCTTTGATCTCAGCAGTTCAGCCAGTTTTCAAGACACTTCACTGTCCACTCATTCAGTCTGTACTTCATCGGTTTGTCAGTGTCTGCTGTCCACTGCTAAAAGAGAGAGAGAGAAAAACAGAATAGAGTCGAATAAATTGGCTTCTTGTCTTCTTGGATGTTTATTGAACGAGGGGAAAAAAAAAAAGGGTATTTCATGGATGACCTGCTCTATAAACAAACAAACTCGTAAGCATCCTAGAATTGACTGATTTGAAGGAGTGGAGAAGAACACAGAGAGACCCTCTGATGCATCCTTCAGAACTCAGTAGAGTACTGGTATGCAGTGAGGGTCAAGACAATACTGTGCTGGTAGCTGATTCTGATTGCTTTCCCTTCGAGTATCAGGGTACTGGATGGTATTCACTCTTTTTTTCCACAGTAGCTATTCTTTGCAGTTCGAAGTAATGGTGTAGAGGACAGTGTCCCACAAGAGGAAAAGAACTTGCCGAGGTTACAGAATCTTCAAACAAAATTTTAAGACAATTAAGCCATTGATCATCAAGCTTGGAAACAGTCTTTCAAACACAAATTGATGTAACTGTATAAAACAATAGAAGCTGATTCAATTCATTTTATATTTAAACATATTCTACAATTTTCTGAGAACTCAAAGGCTTTGACAACTTTTTATCTTTCTCTCACGCCAAAACAATACAGGAGAATATTAGTCTGCTAAACCCAAATTTTGCTACTGACTTAATTGCAATAGCATTCTTATAAGTCAGTCATTATGGAGACAAAGAAGAAAAATAGTGTTTCTTTTGGGGATAAAAGTTACATATTTTTTCCTAATACCAATTAGGCAAAGGAGGAGAGGTAACTAACAAAGAAATTCTCTATTTCAGGAGGTTAGTCAGCACTTCTGTTCCTACATACATTGAATTAAATAAAAATAGAAATAAAAGAATTAAAATTTAATGTTTTCAGTGACCCTTGCTAAAGTCCCTTGGAAAATTAGAAGAAAGCAGAAATAGCAATTGCTTCTGAACAGAAATCATGCCATAATTTAATTACATTTTCTAATAATGACTCCCAGATGCAGCTTTTAATCTAAATATTTCAAATTTCTTAACTCTGATCTAAGTATCACTATTCCATAAAAATAGGCAGATAAAAAAAAATCACAGAATGGATAACCTTGCAAAAGGTCAGCAGAAACCAAAAGGCAGATCTAAAAATAAAACTTTTTTTTTTTGGAGGCCCAATGCAATGGCCTGCCAAATCCACTAAACTACTTCTCTTTAAATGTGTTTTCTGGCTGATGTGTACATTGCTGATATTATTTCTTTGTAGGCTTTTTAAAGATTTTATTAATACAATAAACCATCTGGATCACATCCAAGTTTAGATCCATTTAATTTCGCCAGAAAGAAATGAGTTTATTATAGAGGAAGCATATCAGTGTCAAAAGACAGATGGAGCATATGCTATATTTTATTTTGTTCTTTGTGCTGATTGTGAAAAATTGTGGATATACACTTGGAAAGAGAAGTCTGCACATCACTAATAGTGGGGTGATGCATTAGCTGCGTGAAACACTTTCTGTTAAAGAACAGGTATTCACTGTGCATCTTGTTTAGTGACCTAGAATAGACCATTAGAAGTGACACAACTTAGGTATATATAAAATGAATTGTATAAAAGGAATATTTTGAAGATCCTGGTCTATTTATTAGCTTCAGATATTGACTCTGGGATCATTAAATAGAAGAGTAAAATATGCAAGGATTAGTGTAGGAGTCCATGACACGCAATAGAGAAACTTGGACACTTTATAAACTCTGTCACTGTAAACATGTATTTTATATAGATTGATGCATTGATGCTAGCTTTGTGCATGCTTTTGTAAGTGTACATCAATTTTGTTCTTGTGAAGCTTGTTTCCATAGAATCTCTCTCTTGTTGCTGGATAAAAAGAAACTCTGCCATGGAGGAAGTTCACAACATGGAGCTAGGTTAGGCTTCTGCTCTGAAACATCCTTTAGAGAAACATGCTCACTGCAGATGCAGTATGGGGACAGTAATCTTTCTGCAATTGTTTTCCTCCAGAGGCTCCGATGCAGAATTTTGAGTTGCCATGGGACATATCTAAAGCAGACGATCTGAGAGTACTTCCTAGATATCACTTGAGGATAGACATATCCCCTGGCCACTGCCAGCTACCTGTTGGGAAGCAACATCTCCTCCTTTTCCCTCTCCTGCTCTGGTTTCCTTTAGAAGAAAATCTAGGTGTACAGACAGCAAGCAAGCAACGGTGCCCTCCAGCAGGACCTCTTTTGGAAGTAAGGCCTGCAAGCACATTGGAATGCATTTCGTCTCCTTACGGAGTATAGCTGCAGTGCTCAAATTATCACAAAGATGACTGGTTGGATACTGTAAAGAAACATTATTCCTGTGGAAGATGAAAACTTACTTAACCTGGCCATAATGCCCGCCTGCATTAATTCTGGAAATACATTTATTATTACCCAAACAGTGCTGCCAAAAGTCTTACCACCAGTCTGAGAAACAATGAAGCATGTTTAACAATCTTTTCACAGGCATCTTTTTGCTATATTATTTTGATGATCATCTTTCAAACTTTAATCTTTCCAAACATACTGGGAAGTTTAACTGCAATAATATCCTCTCCTGAAGCAGATTCTCCCAAACACCATACAAACTCTTTGCCCTTGCTGCTGTCACGGACATAAGACATCCTTCTTCTGAGTAATGTACTATGCATTCTGCTATACTTTTCGAAGTACCATACTAAATAGGTTAAATGAGTTGCTGCCATGTGTCTGGACTTGAGGAGTCTGTCTTCCAACACCTGTACATCAATTACATATGGATATCAGGTGTTATGTTTAATTAACTGATTAATTACCTGGTGATATGTTTAATTAACAAATCAGATGTTAACTAAAATGAAACAAAACTTCATCTAAGATGCCTTCTGGGTTAGGCAGAAGCATTTGTAGTTTAGTAGGTAAATGCTTAACTTGGCAAGGATTCCATGCTGCTTGCCATTTTATTTTGAATGAAAAAGGAGGAAAATGAGCAGAGTTATGTCCTTGTAAGTACAAGCTGGAGTTAGGAAACAATGCATATTTGTAAGGTACTAATAATTTCATGCTTTGCTGGAAAAGTGGACCATTATCCTCCATAAACTTTCTAGAAAGTACCATTTTCAGTTTACCTCCCCTAAATTGCCTGTGATTTTGAAGATACCTCTCTACTTGTGAAGTTAAGTCATACTGTGCTACTCTAACTTAGAAAAAAACACTCACAAATGCCTAGGCAGATAAGTTAGCTTTTCTGGATACATATGATATAGTCACCTCAGTATCACTGGGCAAGATATTTTCATCAGTCAGGAGCAGTTAAGGTCTGTTTTCTAAGTTTTACAGAA